CAACAAAAAGTTTGAGACGAACTTAGACACAAAACATGATACTAGGAGTAAACAGTGCGCATGCTATTTAAAGGAAGTTCAAAGACTAAAACAAAGGAAAAATTATGAATAATATTAAAATATTAAAAGTAAATCTTCAGCACTCTAGGGGTGCAACAGCCTACTTAAGAGACTACATAGAATCAAACAATGAATACAAAATAGCATGCATACAAGAGCCGTACATAAAAGATAATAAAGTAAGAGGATTCCCAATCAAATATAGAAAATTCTACGCCAAAACTGGCGCAAAAACAGCAATAATCATTACAGATAACCAAACTTCAGTTTTGGAAATTCTAAGCACTGAAACTATAAGTGCCATAAGAATAGAAGGACAAATACCATTCATATTAATATCAGTATATTGTCCACCATCACAAGGACTAGAAACACACCTTTCCATACTAGAAGATTTAATTTCTGATTACCAAAATATCCCAGTTATAATTAGTGGTGACTTCAACGCGAAGCACACAATCTGGGGCCCAAGTCAACCAGATCCCCGAGGATTACAAATATGTGAATTTCTAGCCACTACAGACATGTGCGTAATCAATGATCCCGATAGCCCACCTACGTTCACAGGGGCCAGAGGCAACTCATGGATTGACCTCACCCTCCTAAGAAAACACGGGCAATTGGACATAATAAACTGGAAAGTGTTAGAAGAGGCCAACCTAAGTGATCATAACATAATAACCTATGAAATATCAAACACAAAATGCAACAGAAGTTCAAAAACGAAAATGAGACTAAAACATATAGACTGGCTTAAATTCAGATTAATATTAAAAGAGCAATATCAAGTCAACAGACTTGTAAGTATTAATAACATAGACGACCACATAGAAAAGACCACAAGTCTAATACATGAAGCTTATGAAAGTACAAAGAAGCCCACAATAATTCTCCCACCCCATCGCATAAGTAAACCTTGGTGGACACCAGAATTAACAATATTAAGAAAAAAGGTCAGGGCCTTAAGAAGACGATACTATCGTTCCCCAGACTCAATCAGGACAGAGCTCAGAAAAACTTATAAACTAGAGCAAGCGAAATACAAAAGGCTTCTGTTCGAAGTCAAAAGGAAAACATGGAACTCATTCTGGGATAACCTTCAGATCTCCTCACCCTTCGGCACATATTATGACATCGCCAAAGGTAAAAGTCTAGGTCCATTACAACTAAGCGTAATTCAAAAAGCGGACGGCACGACCACAAAAACAATAGAATATTCAATAAAGGAGATTCTAAAGTTTCACTTCCCACAAGATCCCACAGACCAAGACACAGAAGAACACAAAAGAATAAGACATATAGCAAACAGCCCGTGTCTCACAAAAAATGACAAAGACTTTACTAAAATCGAAATTCGCAAAGCAATAGAAACCACAAAGAGAGGAAAGGCCCCAGGCCTAGATAAGTTAAACATAGAATTCATAGAAGAACTAAGACTAGCCAATGAAGACAACCTCACAAAACTATTTAATGCATGCCTCCATACCGGATATTTCCCGAAAACATGGAAAAATGCCGAATTAGTCCTTTTCAAGAAAGAGCGGAAAAACCCACATAACTCCAATGCCTACAGACCAATATGCCTTCTCTCCGCATGGGGAAAGGTACTGGATAAGCTCATAACGCAGCGACTCGTCCACCACTTAGAGTCAAATCATCTCTTAAATAATGCCCAATTTGGATTTACCAAAGGCAAGAGCACGATAAATGCATTAGACAATCTTCAACAACAAATACAGGCAAACAAAGCCAATGGTTTCCACACATGCGTTATTGCACTTGACGTCGCCTCGGCTTTTAACCGACTATGGTGGCCAGGCCTAAAAGAGCAACTGATAAAACTTCGATGTCCAAAAAATCTATTTAGGCTCATCAGTAGCTATCTACATAACAGAATCATCACATATCAAAGAGATGGAGTCAACATAAGACATGAGTACCATAAAGGGGCCCCACAGGGATCCAACATAGGCCCGACCCTATGGAACATAATCGCAAATACAGCCTTAGAAATAGACTTTGAAGACACCGCGCAGATACAAGCATACGCGGATGATTTTATCTTGATAATAAAGGGCGGCAATAGACTTATAATTGAAAGACACGCGGCAAAAGCCCTGGAGAAGATCACTGCCTGGAGTGCAAAATATAAGCTAAACTTTAGCGTAGAAAAAACAAAAATGATTACCTTTCCAAAAGGGAATAAAATAATTAACAGCCCACCCAGGATTAAATGGCAAAACCTCCCCTTAAGAAACCAAAGTACGCTAAAATATCTAGGATTCCTATTAGATAATAAACTAACTTGGATTCCACACCTGGCGGAAATAAGGAATAAAACAAACAGATTAATAAACAATCTAAATCGGAATCATTGACGAATCAGTGGAACTTAAAAGGGCGTCTCATGAAAGATTTATACACAAGAGGAGTCGAAAGGATGATACTCTATGGGTGTCCGATTTGGATGCAAGGCACCGTCAGACAAAGACAGAAATTGCAACAAATTCAAAGGGTGGCACTCCTCAAAATAACAAAAGCGTTTACCACAACATCCACGGCTGCCCTCCAGATTTTGGCGGGGATCCTCCCCCTAGATCTTAAGGCAGAAGAAGAACGCTTAACATACCGCCTCCTTCACTTTAAGGAGTCAGCTATTGAAAATGGACTCACTATCCTCGAAGAATCGGCCTTAGAGCCCCACATCAGAACCACTGCTTCGCATCCGGCATCCTCAGTAGACATTAAATGGGATAAACTCCCGCCACTCAATGCAGACTTAGAAATATTCACAGACGGGTCAAAAACCGATTCAAAAGTCGGAGCCGCATTTGTAGTTTTTCACAACGCTCAAGAGATTCATCAGGAACAATACAGATTAAGTGATCACGCAACAGTATATCAGGCGGAATCACTAGCCCTCAAGCAAGCGGCACTCTGGATTAGCAGCTCAGATTCCATTTCCCATTCAATATACACAGACAGTTTGAGTATTCTACAAGGTCTGAACAGGATAGGATCACAGCCACTACATGTCTCCTCATTAAAAGAAATCCTCTCGACCTTAGCCTATACCAAGAACATCTCCTTACACTGGGTCAGAGGACACCACGGTACCCAAGGGAACGAAAGAGCGGACGCCCTAGCGAAAGCTGCCACAGAGCTTCAGCAGATCACAAAAGAAACCCCAGTCTCGCTCATAACAGCCAAAAATCGTATCCATGGACACTTCATGTCAATCTGGCACACAAGATGAGAGGAAGGAGACACAGGCAGGTTCACCTACGACATTTTTCCGCAAGTCAAACTGAAGAGGCTTTACTCCAGTCATCTCTCCTTACAAGCCCTCACAAACCACGGGAGATTTCCATCGTATCTAGAGAGGTTTCTGCACAGAAATGTTAAATGCCGCTGCGGTTCGTCGGCGACAACAGCAGATGTCATACACTATCTGTCTACATGTCCGATTACCGCACACCTCAGGATACCACAGAATACAGCGCTTCTCCAAGACAAAGGAACACAAGGGTACTTCAGACTATTACGGCCAGAAAGAAGCCAGAAGGATTCTTCAATTTCTTACCACAAATACACGGAGCGTCATCATAGAGACATCCGACTAAAAACTAAGTCCGATGTTTTGTAAAAGGCAGCACGCCTTATGTAAATATGATAACTAATTCTACTAAAGTCTAATAAGCTAACTCATCTTAACTAATATTCAGAGATATCTTTTGTAATTTCATAATAATCATAATTGTAAGTTGGTGCAAACCAACCAAAATGTTAATATATGTTAAATTTTTAATGTAAATTTTAAATAAAAGAGAGGTTGCTACGCAACGACCGGGATGATATGACTGACCTGTAGTGCCCAATGAGAGGCGAGGCAGGCTAAGGATAATTATTATTATTATTATTATTACCCTACTGATCCCCCAGGGGGAATGCGATCATTATTGTAGTCTTTTGTTTTTGACTTGAGCGAAAGCCTGGTTGAATTCAGAGCGAGTCCGTTTGACCCATCTCAGAAAGAACATCGGGTGCCGTCCAGAATTATCTGAGTCTAAAAGTGGTCATTGGACGGTCATTTGCAATACGCATTCCCGTGTGGAAATAGACCTTGCCGTGGTCTGGGGGCTCCCTCGAAAGAGGGTCTAACGTATTTCCACTCGCTAAGTAACAGTTCCGGTGAGAACCCCAGGGTACCGGTTCTGTGAACAGCAGCCACCGTGTAAGTTGGGCCCATAACGGTTCATACGGTGGTCCCTGAGCTAGGACATATCCCCTACACGCCATCTTGCGCCCAATTACAAGACAAGGCAAGATGGCACGTCGAAAAGACACCGGGCTGGAAAGTCGGGCAGAAACCTCCAAAGAGCAAACGGAGGGCCCGGCGACGAAAGCTCGAAAAACAGTGAGTGACAGTACCACAGATAGTGATAAACAAGTAGATCACACAGAAGTTAAAGAAGTTAATGAGTTAACTGAAGAATTTATGGAGCAATCCGCAGAGTGTTTACAAGACCTAGAAGGTCTATTAAGCAAAGAGGACGTAAATAAAAAACTTTGTAAAAGTGTAAAGAAGTGTTTCCAAAGACTATTAAATATAATAACAGCGCAAAATTTAAAGATAGCAAATATGCAAGGACAGTTAGAGCAAACCCAGAATGTTGAAGATTATCTTCAAGGGTTAGTCGAGACCAGAGAAACATACGCGGCAAAAGCTGCTAAAAATCTCAGACAAAGATCGAGAAGTAGGTCAAAATCAAAATCAAAAGACCACAAGGCACAGAGCATATTCTCTTGGTGTACCCTAAAGACAGTGAGTTAACCTCAGAACAAGTTAAAGAGGGCTTAACTAAGAATATCAATCCTAATCAATTAAAGATAGGGAATAAAAAAACTTAGGAAAATCCGTAGAGGAGGAGTTCTAATAGAAACAAACAAACAAGAGGAATTAAAAATCCTAGAGGACGCTATCAAAAGACAATACAAAACTTAGAAAAGTAATGGAGCCTAAAAGACCCGTAAAGCTCAACCCCAGAATAATTATCTATAATGTAGATAAAGACATAACGCGAGAAGGTCTAAGAGACCACTTAGTCAAACAAAATATAGAACTCGAAGAAGCAGAAATAGATGTTAAATTTAACAGGAAAGGGAAGTATGGACTTAATTGGGTTATAAGCATAGACCCCATCGCATTTCAAAAATTAATGAAAACGAAAAACGTCAACATACAATGGTCACGAAAGAGTGTTAAGGAATACCTCAAAGTAACACAGTGCATAAATTGTCTAAAACTCAGACATACAAAAAGAACATGCAACGCAGGAAAGTGTTGCACAAAATGCGGAAACCAGGGACATATAAAAGCAGAATGCAAGTCCGAAAGGACCAGATGTGTCAACTGTCATAACGCAAATGAAGAGTTTAACTTAAACCTCGAAACAAAACATAACAGCTTAGCAAATGAATGCGCATGCAAAACAAGAGAACTAGAAATCCTTAGAAAACGAATCAACTATGGGTTCAATTAAAATTACGCAACTCAATGTACAGCACTCAAGGAGTGCAACACTTCAACTAAGACAGGACTTAGAGAAGGATAATAGATTTAAATTTGCATGCATACAAGAACTGTATGTATTAAAGAATAAAATTAGTGGATTCCCAATAAAACACAGAGCGTATTATGCAGATAAAGACGCAAAGTCAGCAATAATAGCTACGGATAAGAATATTCCAATCCTAGAATTAAAGACAACTCCGGAAATAGTAATGATCAAAGTTGAGGGTACAATCTCATTCATCCTAATATCGGTATATTGTCCCCCACATGACGACATATAAGAAATAATGTCGGAACTAGATTACATAATCGAAGAAAGGGAACATGACAATATAATAATATGTGGCGATTTCAACGCCAAAAGTAGAGTTTGGGGTTCTCTGAACTCAGACCCAAGAGGTACCAGAGTAAACGAATTTATAGCGACACATAACATGTGCATCATGAACGAAGCAGACAGTCCCCCAACATTCATGGGGTCAAGAGGAAACTCGTGGATTGATCTGACAATAGTTAAATATAAAAGGGAACTAAACATAGAGAATTGGAAAGTTGCGAAAAGAAATACGCTAAGTGACCACAATGCGATAAACTTCGAGGTAAATCTACACTTCAATCACATGCCGACAGGCATGAGAATGAAGAGAGGACACACAGATTGGCTACTCCTAAAAGAGGGGATAAATAAAGTAATGACAGCAGAGTATAAGCTAGAGACAGAAGAGGATATTAATGACACAATAAAAACAATCTCGGGAAAATTAAAGGAAGAGTACGAAAGGGCTCTATTCCAGAAACACAAGAGAACAGGAAAGGATACGCAGAGATCAAATCCATGGTGGACACACCATCTCACACAAGAGCGTAAAAATGTAAGAAAGCTCAGGTGGGAATATCAACATACCTATAATGAAGAAAGGCAGGATAAAAGGGCGCGCTATAAAAGAGCAGAGGCGCAGTATAAAAGAAACATTAACAAGGCAAAGCAAAAGTCATGGGAGAATTACTGGAATAATTTGAAGATTAGCTCACCCTTTGGGACATACTTTGACATAATCAAAGGGAGCCATTACCAACCGCTAAAAATAAGCAAAATTAAAAAGTCGAATAATGAATGGACAGACATCATAGAAGAAACCCTGCGACACATAATTCAGTATCACTTCCCCCAAGACGAGGACAGCCTAGATACAATGGAACACGGGACAATGAGACACGGGGCCAGGATAAGCCCGAACACAGAAAATGATACCCAGTTCACAAAAGAAGAAATAAGTAATATAATTAAAACAACGAAAAAGGCCAAAGCCCCCGGACTAGATGAACTCTCAATAGAAATAATAGAGGAAGCAATGATAGCAAATGAGGAACTCTTTCAAACAATACTAAACAAGTGTTTAGAGAAGGGGTATTTTCCAAACACATGGAAGGAAGGAAATCTAGTGTTATTCCAAAAAGAGGGCAAGAACAAAACCACACCAGGAGCCTACCGCCCCATATGCTTATTATCAGCATGGGCGAAAGTATTGGATAAGCTGCTGGCCAAAAGGCTAACGCACTTCCTAGTAAAAACAAAAGCGCTAAACGCAAAACAATACGGCTTTCTGCCTGATAAGAGCACAATAGATGCCCTGGAAGGGCTAATGAAACAAATAGAGGAAAACAGAAGGGAAGGCATGCACACTTGTGTAATCTCATTAGATGTGGCCTCTGCCTTCAACAACCTATGGTGGCCAGGAGTGCTTAACAGGCTCAAAACACTCAAATGTCCTAAAAACATATATGAGCTAATAAGTAGTTATCTAAATGAAAGAGTAATAACCTACAATCGAGACGGAACACAAATAAGACACGACTACCAGAAGGGTGCCCCTCAAGGCTCAAACCTGGGACCCATACTCTGGAATGTAATGGCAGACACAGCCCTGTCATTGGACTTAGGGGAAAATGTCAACATTCAAGCATATGCGGATGATTTCATCCTAATAATAAAAGGAGGGAATAGGCTGAGACTAGAGGAGCACGCCCACCGGGCGCTACAACAAATACAAGAATGGAGCCTAAAATACAAACTCCAATTCAGCATAGAGAAAACGAAACTAATATTATTTCCGAAAGGAACGAAACTTCATAGATCGCCACCCAGAATTGAATGGAAGGGAATTCCAATCCCGCGTAAAGAAGTCCTAAGATACTTAGGTTTTATGCTGGATTCCAAGACAACATGGATTCCACACCTAAGCACGATAAAAGATAGGACGCAGATAATGATAAATAAACTTAACAATATAGTCTCAAGAACATGGAACATGAAAGGGCAGTTAATAAAGGTCATATACAATAGAGCAATTGAAAGGATGATCCTTTATGGATGTCCGATATGGCACACAGGGACGGCACGACAAAAGCAGAAGCTACTCCAAATACAAAGAGGAGCCCTCCTAAGTATTACGAAAGCGTATGCAACAACACCGACGTCAGCACTACAAGTCCTCTCAGGTATATTACCCTTGGACCTACGTGCAGAAATGGAAAAACAAGCTTACAGGCTGTTTCACTTTAAAGAAGACGTTAGACTAGGGGATCT